GAGAGAGAGAGAGAGAGAGAGAGAGACAGAGAGAGAGAGAGAGAGAGACAGAGAGAGAGAGAGAGAGAAAGACAGAGACAGAGAGAGAGGCTGTTTATAAAAATCTTGCTCCTCACATGCTGGTCCTGAGGGCACTGGGGCCCTCAGTGAGGGACATGTGAGAGAGGCTGTGGGATGCGGGTGCACGCCTGAGGAGGAAGGTGATGTGGGAAGGAAATTCAAAAGAGGAAGGAACATGCTGGAGACTAGGGAGAAGTAATCTTTCCAGCACTTCTGCATCCTCTTCCCTGGACCAAGGACTGAGTAGAGCAAGGGGCAGGTCAGTCTGGCCCCATCTTCCACTCTCCCTCACTTGGCACTGTGCCTGTGTTCGTTCTGGTATCAGCTGCCACTGGGCCACCCAGCTCTCTGTGGGTATGGGACACCCGGCTGTAGCTCCTCTTTTCTTCCTGGAGCTTCAGCTCAGCGGTGAGCATCAGACTTTTTTATGAGTAGGGAAGGTGTACTGAAGCATAGGAATAGCTCCCGAGGGACCGGAGGGGTCCGATGGGTTGTCAGTGAGGCCTTTTGTCAGGGGTAATTTATACAGCAAAATTATAAAGTGGGTACAACATGGGCCAAACTATAATCAACCGAGTACAAGTATATCCCAAGGGTATTCGGCTGACACTATTAACCTTGGCTTATCTCTGACTTCTAAAACAACATTCTGGGGGAAGGGAAGGGTCCTGGTGTTCTGGTCACCCATCCGTGTGTCAGATGCATATCTGGCTTTAATCGACTGGGTGGTACCAATTACAGTGTCACCTCCACTTTCCTTTCATCCCTTAGGGAAGTAGAGCATCAGACTTTTGCCTGAGAGGGCTGTACTGAGGCTCCAGGAGTGCAGGTGTGCCAGAAGGCTCGGCTGAGGCCAAGGCTGAGTTATCAGCACCCCCATTCGCACTGTCCTCCCGGGCCTCTGGGGAGCGGGGGAGGCAGAAGCCAAGGTCCCTGGCACAATGGGCTGAAAAGAGGGTGAGGCAATTTGCTCCCAAGAGCTGGGGAGAGGCAAGGATCTCAGGCTGGCTTCTCAAGTGGAGCCTAACTGCTAGCTGGGGCTGGGGAACGGGCATTTGGACAGAGAGGGGCAGGGGCTGACCCAAGGTCACTAGTAGGCAGGACAGTGGCAGGCTAGGGAGAGGCTCTGGGTCCTGGCGGACACCACGCCACAGGCGTCCATCTCCTACGGGGACAACAAGGGGGATCCCACCCCAGGTTCCTCCCCGCGCCGGCGAGCCCTGGTTTTCCGACCCACAGCGTGTGCCTGCGAGGGGCTGTCCCAGGCCCACGGACGCTGCCCCCGGAGGTCCTGGCGCCCTCCGCACCTGCACCCGCCCAGCCCTGCAGAAGCCCGGCGGCTGGCACGCGGCCTGTGCGCCCCGAGAGCCGCGCTTACCCCCGGACGCAGAGGACCATGTCCCGGCGCAGCGGCGGCTCCGGAGGGGCTCGGCGGACGGCGGGGGGGCTCGGAGG